CAGTGACTTGAGAATCCTGTCAGACACATTTGTTTGCGTGGGCCCAAAATCCCAAAAGGAAAACCAGAAGGGATTGCAGTATAACCACCCCCCCAGAGGATGATTTATCACTTTCCCTCTATCTCTCTCTCTCCAGAGAGCACACGCACCCTATGGCAAAAACCTTTTAAAATAAATAAATAAACGTTTGGGGATTTTCCCTTTTGTTTGTTTTTTTCAATTTAGTTTATATAGATGATAAATAGATACAGATTTTTGCAATAAGGCATGTGTGCTCCCTGGAGAGAAACAGCAGGGAAAGTGAGAAATTACTCTCTCCCCCCCCCACCCCAGAAGATGCCCTTTGCAATTCCTTCTCCTCTGTTCTCCTCCGGGATTTGGAGCATGCACGCACCAACACCTGGCATGTTTTTCTTTTTAAGAATTATTTTAACTTTATTATTATTGTTACTTTCCAGTTTGATCAGAGAGACAGTGAGAGAGAGGGAAAGTGAGAAAGCAAGCCACCAGATTCAGGACTTGAACCATGGTCGGCCACGTGGAGTCCAGCGCCTTTAACCACCACGCCACCTGTCGGCCCCAAGGGTTAGCCTTTTTTGAGCCACAAACCCCTTTGGTAATATGGCAATGCCTAAGGATCCTTTCTCAGAATGTTTATAAATGTGGGACCAGCAGTTGGCATGGTGGCTATATCACTTGACTCCCATGTAGTCAACCACAGTTCGAGTCCTGGACCCGGTGACTTAAACTCACGCCGGGCGCATGTGTGTGCGTGCCCAAGACCCCAAGAGGAGAATGGAGAAGAAGGGATTGCTGCGGCATGGCCGGCCCCCCTAGGGGGGTGATTTCTTGCTTTCTGTCTGTCTCTCTGGTGAGCGCATGCGCCCTATACAGCAAAAACCTCTCCAAAAAAAAGAAAAAAGTGCTTCTTTATTAATACATTAAATCACGAGATCAAATCGGTAGCCTAATTTCAAAGCACTGATGAGTATAAATGATTTTCAAGGTATCTGATATAGCTGTAGTATGGCAGGAAAGTACCTGCTAATACTGTCGTGGATTGCTGTAGACGTCATAATCATATGAAAAACTAATTTCAGTTAAGGTTACTGAAAATAAAAATGTACTCCCCCCACATCCAAATGAAAACAATTCTCTCTTAAAACTGTCAGAAGTAAGGACCAGCAGATAGCACAGTGGTTATGTTGCTGAGTCCCAAACCCGATGGCTTCAAACTCATGCTGGGAACGTGTGTGTACACGCCCAAAATCCTGAGAGGAGAATGAAGAAGGGATTGCAGTGTGGTCATCCCCCTGGGGGGTGATTTCTCGCTTCTGTCTCTGTATCTCCAGTGAGCACATGCACCCTATAGCAAAAATCTCTCTTTAAAAAATTATTTTTTCTAGACGTATCTCTCTCTGGCAGGTGCACATGCCCTATGGCAAAACCCCTAAAAAATAAAAAATTCCAGAATTAGAGAGATAAAGCTTTTATGTTACAGAATGAAGGAAAAGGGTGAGACAATAAGAATAGAGGTAAGAGATGACCCTCCTGAAACTGAGCTGAGCAAGATGCCTGTGGACTTAGATGCAGGCCCAAGAAGTAGGGCAGGGAGTAGACGCTCCCTCCTCCTGGGAGCTGCATCTCAGCTCGATCATCTCAAATCCCAAGGTATGACTATGCCAAGCACTGTTCCCCTTCCTCTCCCTCTCTTCCTGGACTCCAGCATCCTAAACTCTCAGCATGGTCTTTTCTCACCTCCCCTAAAACACCTTCAAAATTAGCAGTGCATTGACCTCCGTCCTGAGGGCGATTCCCGCAACTGGACGGAAGGAGTAGCCTATCTCAAAGGCTCTTCTTAAGCCACAGTCTCAAGACTTTCCACAGATTTTTTTTTATTTTTAACGGAAGTGCCTTATCTTCCAGTCTCTTCAGTCTCAGCCACAGAAGCAAGATGACGGAGGGAACGTCATCGTTTGGGAAGCGTCGCAATAAGACGTGCACGTTGTGCCACCACTGTGGTTCTAAGGCCTCTCACCTTCAGAAGTCGACCTGTGGCAGATGTGGCTACCCTGCCAAGCGCAAGAGAAAGTAAGACTGCAGAGCCCAGGCTAAAAGACGCAGTACCACTGGGACTGGTCGAATGAGGCACCTAAAAATTGTATACTGCAGATTCAGGCCTGGATTCCGTGAAGGAACAACACCAAACCCAAGAGGGCAGCTGCTGCGGCATCCAATTCATCTCAAGGATTTCAACAATTAGTCAGGCAATAAATGTTCTCGGTTAAAAAAAAAAAAAAAGACTTTCCACAGAGAGAGAATTGGTGCTTGATCTCCAAAACTCAGTCTAGGCTGCTTCTTTTTTTTCCAGAGGTTTTTGCTATAGGGGATGTGCACTCACCAGAAAGACAGAGACAGAAAGCGAAAAATCAACCCCCAGAGGGGATGGCCACGCCGCAATCCCTTCTCCTCCATTCTCCTCTCAGGATGAGAGTGAGTTCACAGCGTGAGTTCTCAGCATGAGTTCAAGCCACCGGGTCCAAGACTCAAACCGTGGTCGACTACATGGGAGTCCAGTGACACAGTCATTACACCAACTGCTGGTCTCCTTCTTTTTTTTTTTAATTTTTAATTTCCCAGAGGGCATGTGAGCTTACTGGAAAGAGACAGAGAAAGCACTCCCACGGGGCATGGTCATAACACAATCCCTTCTCCAGTTCTCCTTCCTATGAGGATTTTGAGCATGCATGCACATGTCTGGTATGTTTTTCAAGTTGCTGGGTTGAAGCATATGGTTGTCCACATGAGATCCGGTGCCCTAACCTGCAGGCCACGCGCTGACCAGAGTTTGAGTGTCTTGACAGAAACTCCTCAAGAAAATCAAAGTGGGGGCCAGGTGGTGGCACAAACCAAGGGAAAGGTCCTGAGTGTTTACCCTAGGACCACCCTGAGCAGGCCCAGTATGTGTACATGTGCCCATAATCTACACTGGCTGAGAAGGGCGGGCCTCAGGACGCCTGTCTCTCTTTCATGGAACAAATAAATTTACACACACACACAATACACTGAATAAATATAAAAATATATAAAATAAAATGCAGTAAAGATTTGGGTTTCTAGGAGCTGGCAAGTGGCATAGTGGATGGGAGATGGAAGCACTGGACTACCACATGGCAAACCATGGTTTGACTCCCAGACCTGGCAGCTTGCTTTCTCACTTTCTCACTCTGTTCCTCTCTGGTCAAATTAAAATAAATAATGTTAAATAAAATAAATAATTCTAAAAA